AAACTCACCCTTCTTAATACGATCAGCATAACCTGACATCCCTCCCAAAGTACCTATTTACTGCTTCGTCAATTTGATATTGCCTATACTCGAAGGTCTGAAACATTTGTTTATTTCTCTTTTCAGTTTTACTAACTATTACTAAAAAGTTTTCGAGCTAAGAATGTAAAGTCAGTGCATATATGAAAGTCGTTATACCATTGAAGCAACTAAATTGTATTTCGTACCTTAAAACTCATTATTTCTATGACGGAAATCCATGTATAACACGTTTAAGGGAAATTAAGCTAAGTCAGATTACATTACATTCCACGCCTGTTGTACTTCATATACTCCATGACATTTTCATATTGTAATTACTAAAGAGTTTAATACCAAACATATTTCAGTCATTTCTAATAAACCCCGCTATTTTATCGGTTTTAATATTTAACAGAAATTCAGTGCGATGGAATCGGATAACTGTAAAAGGACATTTAATCTAATCACATGTAAACATCTAAATTTAAAACATTATACTCTGAACACATGTTATAAAATTGAAATATTATCTCTATTTGAAAATCATAGAACCTGATGTTATTCATATGATGCAATTTAAAAACAAGTTAAATTGTAATTACCTTCTGTATATTGGCTTTCTTTAAACGATTTCATAAAGATTCTAAATCTGTACATTAAATATTAATTTTAGATAATGATAATGATTATTAAAGACATTTCGCATTATCTGATCTCGCGTATCTGACATATCAGTTATTTTATTATAGTTGTAAGTTGAGCTAAATTGTTAAATGACTTTGGCATTGGCAAACACAGAAAGTGCAGTGTCATACGAAAAAATCGGAAAGTATTCAAAAATCAGTTTCAATGCATTTAACCACGAAAGTATGAGTACATATTCAAAAACGAAAACTTAAAACATACTTTACGAAGCAAAACAATATAATCACGCGATGGAGCGTTGAAATGTCACCTATTGATAGAACGCAAAGAAAAGTTTAAAGCGTACAATAAAATTGCTCATCTTAACTATCAACCAATAACCCCAAACTCCACAACAGAATGGTGGAGAGAAATCAGTTATCCGAAATGACGATAGATTCCATAGTTCCGTATGAAATGTATTTATAGGAGAAACTGTGAAGCCAGAAACACGATAGAAAAACCGAATGTAACCACTATTCTTCTGTGTATGAAAACATGCACAAATAATGTGTTGAATCAAAAATGTGTTGACAGTTTTTACTTCACGATCTTTATATATATATTGTTACACTAAAACCTTCCTATTTGAATTAAAAGCAACATTTAACAATGTTTTTTTCTTTGGTCAAGGCGGAGTAAAAGCCTCATGTATTCCGTTTCCTAAAATGCATTGTATTTCACTTAATCCATTGTAACTAACAAAGTAATCTGCAATTATCAAGTATTTAGTATCAACCTGTAGTAGACATTTGATTTTTATCAATGTAATTAAATCATTTACGATCGTACAAACACTAGAAAGATTACTTAGAAAATCTGACAGAGGAAAAGTGCTTTTTACTTGACTGTTCCACTCAATATCTAATGTTTACTTTGTATGACTTCTCAATCTGTGTCCTTAAAAATGAGTCTCATGTTAAAAACACGAAGAAACGTTTATATGATTTATCTTAAATGGTAAAAATCTTTAGATTGTTAACGAATAAATCAAAGGAGTTTTTTTTATATCGCAAACCATTTATTGTCCAAAATAAAACAATTATTTAGTGCAGAAGAATGTTTTGCATAATTTAAAGGAGGAAGTCAATATATATTGTTCAGGTTTTAATGTGATATAATCAAATTTAAACTTTACTAAAAATAGAATTTTATTTGAATCAAAATGAAACGATATTTGTATTTAAAATGTTGTTATGAAATAGAACGAATTATGTAACTGAATCTAAAATAAAACACGGATGCACAGTTTGGAACAGTCCATATATGTCCAACTGGGTGGTACTGTACTTTTCCAGGGCACACAAAAGTAAAACACCTTGAGACCATACCAATTAACATAGTGTTATCTGTTTTTCCCTTCCATAAGACACGTGAATTATTTGACATTGAACTAATTAATAAAGTACCAGCGATAAAGCTCAAGTAGAAGGAAGTTTTAGATGTTCGTGCAATATTTTTATTTTTCCAAACTACTAATATATCACGCTTTTGTTAAATATTTCCGGCGTATACAGCATTCGAAAAAAAGGAGTACATAGTTGTGTAAGAAATGTTGAGTGTAGATCAAATATCTTCGTGATTGACACACGTAAAACTTGATCATAACATAGAACGTAAAATCCCTTGAGAAATAGGAGTTAAGAAGGAATTATTCATCTTCGAGTTGCATCCAATCATTGCTATGAGACAGCTTTTCTAATATCAGACAAGATTTGTAGATTTTAGGAATTTAAGTGGATTGTCTTTACCAGTTCATTGACCACTTTCATATAACATTGACCTTTCATATTCGTCATTACATAGACTTTATTAGAAAAAAAAACAATTGTGGATATGCATCATATAAACTAATCTATGCACACAATTATGTTTCTATAGAATAAACAATCCGCTTTGAATATTTTATAACGTCATTAATTTGGGCTGTATAGGAAACGTGTTAGTTATGAATTTCAAATCAACACCAACCGGATTCTTTCTTAAAATCATAATTAAATTGATTCCCTGTCTGGCTTTGGCTAAATATTTTGTCCTTTTCGATTATACAATCTCTTCAAAGTTTGTTTTATGTTTCGAAATATCGAATAGTTTGCCTTGTGCACCATTCAAGATACAATACTGGTCGAAATGCACATCTGGTACAGGTTCAGTAAAAGCGGTACCACAAATATTTTTATGCAGTCTATTTAATATACTTCAAATAGTAACTAGTCAAATAGTAATAGGATGATAAGAAAGTGTAATTCAAATTAAAGAACTCTTTAAGTAAAATTCCAACGGAATATGGTACTATTTTAACTCGCATTTTTGTTGTTGTTACACAACTGTATAACGACTTCAGGTGCCACCAGGTTATCTCTGATGTCAAACTTTTGCATTGTTTATTTCCGGGAAGTTTCGATAACATTGTTACAAAAATCTACATTTATTTACACGAAGGGTGAGATGAATACAAACTTTGATCATATAGTTATAGATTTTTATACAAACACCTGGGACATTGTCTATAGGAATGTTCTTTTATTTTTTCTGCTATATCAGCGACGGAACTCTCATTTACATACAGATCATCAAGACTAATGCAGTTCCACATTAAAGATATCACAGACAAAACAATAGAGAGAGTAATGCAGTGTATTAAAACATGAAGATTTATGTGAAGAAAGAGGTTATGACACGCCTACTTCACATGTGAAAGATGGTAAGGTGTATTATAACAGATGGAATCACATATTTCCAAGCTCTTCTGGATGAAAAATCGTTTAGTTTTTATGTTCTCCAAATATCATTCAGATTGAACAGATGTGAAGAGGAGAAAAGAGAAAGCTTTAATGATAAAAATAACTCAGTCAGACCTTGGTCTTGATGCATTTTAAATGTTTGACATACTCTCTCTCTCTCTCTCTCTCTCTCACACTCCTCTGAATGTCTCTTTTGGGTGTTCTTGCTATATATCCTACATATCCTTTAATTGACATTTTGATAGTACGATTGCCGTAGCTAACAGTATAAAGGAAAGAAATATTCAGAACAAAAATAAATGCTTGACATACTCTCTTTCTCTCCCTCTCTCTTCAAAAATAAATCAATTTGGAAGATTTATTATGTGCTTGTTCTAAAGGTAGATTAAAAGAATAAGCTACAACGGAAATATACGTCATGTTAGGTACAGTCGGGAGGTTTTGCTTTGCGTTGTCAGAAAAAATAATAATAAAACAAATGCTTTTTGAGTATAGAAATTAACATTTATTTGGTGTTCCCTTTGCATTGACAATGACAGTCATCAATACTTATATTTATATCATTTATATGATAAAAATTAATTAAATATATTATTAGACAAGGTAAAATCACTGCTATACAATGTAAGCAAACTCATATTTATTTGGCTTATAGACACTTTTTATTTCAACGTTTTAATTCGCTCCCATCATCTCTTGTCACGAATGCCGGAGAACCCCACCGAGTCAACATGAAATTTAACATCTGGTATTTTGGTGCTTTCCCATCAGGTTAAATATAATATGCCCATTCATTTATTCATCCATTTCGGGTCTAATATAGAAATAAAGAGATGAGAGGTGGTATGATTGCCCATGTGACAACTTTAAGCCAGAAACCAAAGGACGCAGATGTAAGCAAGATCTTAGTACGGCCCTCAACAATGAGCAAAACTAATACCGTAATGGTAAACTCTAAAGGCCACAGAATGACAAATGTGACACAATTCAAACGAGAAATCTAACGATCTGATTTATGCGTAAATAATAAACGAAAAACAAATATTTGAGATTGTAGAAATGCCTTCTAATTGTAAAAAGCAAAATCACCTGTTCCAGTGTAGTGCAACATGAGTGCACATATTGTTATTAATCATTACAACTGAATCATGTGAAAACAGTAAATTGTTGTGTTATTTGAATACACAGAAGAAAATTCATTATCGTCATGAAGACACAGATTATTCTAAATTCATTCCTATACACATCGAAATTCTACTACAAAAATTCTACCATAAAAAGACTTTGATAATTTATCTCTATGATCAAATACAAATTAAAAAAGTTTGATGTGCAGGTAATGAAAAAATTGTGAACAGTAAACTGTGCAAAGAATACCGCAGAGCAGGATACATGCCCGATTAAGTTTTTGCTACCGCGATTCCTTTAATAAAAACCATTTTATAACGTTACTAAAAATAAATAAGGCTATAGGTAAATTAAAAATATTTAAAAGAAATAAATTTTCTTGTTAGTTTAAAAGGAAAAATACAAATAAAATCAAATTCTTACCTTTATTCAGTAACATGCGTGTTTTCCCTCTAATTGTGAACTCACTGCAATAAAATAAAATTATAAAACGTTTTCCTCCATTAGGATAATTATAACATATTTTGATTCACCTAAAGTATCACTGATTTGTTGCAATTATTTAATTGTATCCATAGAAATGTCAAGAAATTGCGAAAACAATTTAAACGTCTTGTTACGTGTGTCATGATACTATGAAATGAATATCAATAGTCGACAGGGTTGACTGCCGTTATAACATGGAATATACCATCACGAGTTACCCATAGAACAAATGTATCTACAACTTTTGCCTCCGTCCCATCATTTTTACATTTCTAAGTATAATATAATTTATTCGCATTATTATACGTTAAATTTAATGCTCGATTTGAACTTCATTTACTGGATTCTATATAATTTCATTAATTGAGAGAAAAATACAACAACATATTACCGTCTTCCTTGTACACGTTGTAGGTGGTTTCACCATCACGAGTTACCCATAGAACAAATTTAACTACAAGTTTTGTATCCTTCCCATCATTTTGACATTTCTAAGTATAATATGATTTTTTCACATTATGATACGTTAAGTTTAATGCTCGATTTCAAATTTATTTATTGGATACTATATAATTTCATTGATTGAGAGAAAAAGAAAACATAATATCGTCTTCCTTGTAGGTAGTTTGATATTAAAATGTCAAATTCGTTCGTCTAAACTGAACAAGTGTACATAGTTAATAGCAGACGAAACGTATAAAGTGGTGTCCGACAATTTACACTTCCTTTCTTATTGAATAAAATTCGTTTAAGGAGATGGAATAGCTAAGACATAAAATGCTATCCGATTAACATTCCACTTTACATGTCTGGAATTCCTATAGTTTATTTTCTGGTACGAATGATTGTTCAACAGACACGAATCTTTCAAGGATGATTCAGTTTCCAACAAGATATACTAACGCTAGCTTTGTTTTGTTAAAACAAATTTCACTTTTCACAAAGACAGACTGTATATCAAAATTATATGATCGATAAATTGATTTGCCCAGTCACAAATATTTAATGCATATCTAGGACGAAATCATAGTAACAATAATTCTATTAGGTAGGTTCTAAAAAGTGAATCAACCAGGTTGAAGGACTGTTTATTTGGATATGCTGGATATATATGGACATAAGACTTAAACCCCTCATTCTAATTGGTAGTGGATGCGTATTCATACATCATACAAAGTCAAACGTACATCTCCCTCAGCACGACGTTTCCAAATGACCATATGTGTACACCACAGTCAAAACTTGGGGTGGTCGTTATTAAATGTGAATTGTTTCAATCACTGAAATTGATAACCTGGTCAATGTTATGTATGGATTTAGTAAGTTTTTCTTGTTTAAAAATAGGTATATTATCGAGGCAGCTTTTGTTTTCAGCACGTCAATTTCATTTGAACAAATCTAAAAAAAAACATAAGACCCGACGATATTGTGTAACGTGAGTTATCAACCGACGTCCTGTCGAATTTGTGCCCAATGATATTTTCATTTGTGATCACTTATGAATCATTTTAACTCCTTCGTTACGGTAAATCGCCATATTGTGACTCTAGCCTGAATTTGGCTAATATAAACAAAAGTCATAAGCAAGTAACCATGGAAAATATACGTCGCTTACCTGAATTTCCTGTGTAAGTTATTTTATGAATGTAAAAAATCATTTCAGAGGGATATATATCTTACAATAAAATAGCAAGCCTGGAGGATTATGAAACATTTTCTTTTAATAGTTGATTTATTTATCGATTGATAGCAGGTGTATTACTTATGTAGTTATGTTATAAAATCCTTATAGTTTTTTAATAGATAGAATAAAAAAAACAAAAAACTTATAGCAGTTGTTTATCCTTAACTTACCACAGTTTTAAGTAGAAAGGTAGTATGATGGACATTTAACATACTCTTGGTATTTATTAGAATGTTCTCAAAAGGGGTAGGGTTCGAAGTCATGTCTGAATAAAACTTTTATATCATTGTGTAACCTTTTGCAATATATCGCCAAAGGAAGTTTATGCGTATTTTTTTCTTTTAAAGTAAAGCTTGCTTTACACAAGTATGATTGTGTAACAATATGTTACAGTTGTTTATAGCACAACAAGAAAGAGGAATATGTTTTGAATGTCCATAATTTAGGTGTAATCCATTTTGACCATTTTCAAAGTATGCAAAATTGTTCTATGTAAAATACATTTTTAAAAGTCCCTTACCCCTTTGAACCCTTTGGATTAACAAATCTTACCTTCCTTAGGGAAGGTAAATCCAAAAAGCATTTTGGAAGCACCAAATTTATAAAGTGTTATTTTTTTCTTTCTATAACTGGATCGATACCGCTCTTGGTGGACTGCTAGTTCTTAGGTTTCTGTATTTTGGCCCGATTTCTATACCGCAGTGATTAATATTCCTAGAATGTAGGACGGGATTAAGGCTTCGACAATTGGATATGTTCTGTAACTATCTGTTACACAGATATTCCATTATGGTCAGCCAAACATAGATGGCGAAGAGATTGCATAATCACCATGAAAAGTTCTTGCTCTCAGTAGCTTCCCTGTAAACAGTCTTGTATGATCTGTAAATTCAAGGGTTAAGGGTAAGGGCATCCTTATAAAGACCTAAAACGTTTAAGTTATTATCTTGTATTTTAGCTTGTCAAATTAACAATTTAAGGAAAGTAATAAGAAGTGAACCCGGCCCCTTCAATAATCCGGGATCTTCTAGTATTATTAAAAAAGATAAACTGCTAATACACATTTGAACATGTGAAAGATTCTGTTTTTAACAGTAATTTTACACAAAAAAAAACTTAAAATAACTACAGTAGCTTCTGTGTAAGTATACTTGTAATATGAAAATGATTAATTTGGTCGGTTCGAAGCGCTTTCCTTGATGTATCTTTATCAGGAACGCTAAAACCCAAAATTTTGATGGACAAGGATGTAAAAATACTTGAACACTACAGAAGCTAAATGACCAAAATGAACATAGATATACTGGCTAAATGACCAAAATGAACATAGATACAATAGCAAAATCCACAGCAGGTCAACTTTGCCTGAGGGAGTTAAAACCTAAGTTACTTATCTATTTCTAAATTAATCAACGGAGAATTTAAAACAAGGTATGTAATCTTGTCATTTTAATGTTATATTTAACATTGCCATAAAAGCGGGAGGTTTGGCTAGCCACAAAACCAGGTTCAACCCACCATTTTTTCTTAAAATGTCCTGTACCAAGTCAGGAAAATGGCCATTGTTATATTATAGTTCGTTTCTGTGTGTGTTGCATTTTAGTGTTGTGTTTCTGTTGTGTCGTTGTTCTCCTCTTATATTTAATGTGTGTCCCTCAGTTTTAGTTTGTAACCCGGATTTGTTTTTTTCTCAATCGATTTATGAATTTCGAATAGCGGTATACTACTGTTGCCTTTATGTTACGAATCATGTCAGAACCTTTACACTGGCTATACTGAGCTGAAGAGAGTTAGTCTTAGGGACTAGCAGTCCATATGCAGCGTTATGGGCACAGTAATGGGAATTAGAAATATCACTTTTCGGTTCTTATACATCCTTGGCTTTCAAATATTCAGCTTTGAGCGTTCCTGATGAAGGTAAATCTAGAAAAAAAACGCGTACCACGCATGAAATTTATAAGGTGTTATAAATTTTATTTTACATATAATGTTATTTTATACCTATACTGACACAAAAGAACATCTCAATAAAGTTACAAATTTATGACTGAAAATGTGTAATATAAAATGCTTATGATACGATTATTTCGTCATCGCTTGACGTTTATTTATGAGGAACATACTCGCATGATATATATATAATTCAAACAAACTTTAGCACACTCTAAAATGAATTTTAAACAGAGACATTTCACAAAAATATGCATAAAATTTGTACCGAACGGACAAAATACCATTAAAGTTAAAGTGGTAGTTGAATTTCATAAATCAATGATGAATAAATTGCATCGAACCATTTGAAAAAAAATACATAAACATTCAAGAAACTGAATGTTTTCCTTTGAAGTTTGTAATAATAATATTTATACCATCATTAAGTATACACACATTTAAAATAAGAAACATGTCAAAAGTTTAAAAAGCGTGAACATTTACATTTGATACATCAGCTCAGTGTTGTTGGACTAAAATAGATCATAAAAGAACTAACTGCCGAAAAGTTTAAAATAAATTAGAGGTTAATAGATCAAAACACTAAATAATTCACACTTTATGAATTGATGTACATTATTGTACTAAATTATCTACACTTTAACTAAAAAAAAAAATTAATTAAAAGATGTCGTTTATGCTCCAGTTGATTAACAACTAAGTACTGAAAATAAATATGCATATTTTTTTCTAAAAATGTTTTGAAAACCAGCATAAAAGGAGGCTTTAATGCCTTATTTACGTAAATCTAAAAATAAAAAAGATATAACCCTTGTTTAATTCTAACACGTGAATGAATATTGAAAAAAATAATTCTACAAAATAAATGATGTATAATTGTTAAATACACATATTGACAAAAAGTCCAAGTAAAACCTGCATCCATACAAACTCACAAAAGATATGCAACATGTTCCGTATTTATGTTTTCGAAAAAGGAATAAAATGTGTGCAAAACTTATCTTGTTCTATCTTGATCTCTATTTCCAAAACAAAAATTATGTTAAGAAAGAGTTAATTGCCTTTTGGTTGAGTATTTTCAAATAACTTGTCCAAAACGATTCAATTCAGTGTATAGGAACCTCACTGCTTAGAACGTCCTGATTCTTCTAACGTTATTTTTAGGGAAACAAAAGATTACTAAAAAAAAATGAAAACAGCACTTTATACATTGCATGCTTCCGAAACGCTTTTCTGGATTTTCCGTCATCAGGAACGCTCAAAGCCGAATGTTAGAGAGCCAATGATGTACAAGAACCAAAACAGTTGAAGAGCTATATGACCAAAAAGAACCTTTAAATAATA